TACCACCTGAGCTCTATATCTTGACCCTTCCGTATCCTTGTGCCTTTAACCTGCCTCTGAGTCTTGTGATCACAGTCCGGCTCCCAGCTGGGTCTCTCTCCTCTCTCTTTATGTTCTCTGACTCTCTCTGCCCCTCTCCTTGTTTCACGCCCACCTCTGTCCCTTCCCGTCACTCTTCAGCTCACTGTGGTTTGGCTGTCATCCCTACCACTCCACCAAAACTGCCCTTCGCAAGGTCACTCCTAATGCAACGTCACCTCCTAATGCAAGGTCACCTCCTAATGCAAGGTCACCTCCTAATGCGAGCCTCCTTAGATTCGCCTGAGCTCACTGGCCATGGTCTCCTCCCAGCCCTGGTCTCTGTGATCTCTCCCTTTTCAACTTGGCTTCTAGCCCCACTCTCTCCTGGTCTCCTCCCACCTCTCCAATGATTCATACTCAGCTTTCTCTCTGCCCCTCTTCCTCTGCTTGTCTGCTGGACATGAGCGTTGCCCAGGCCTCAGCCTTTGGCCGCCTTTTCCAGCTGCGCAGCTTCTGCCCTGGTATGCCTTCCACTCCCATGCCCTTAATCCTAGTGATGGCTCCCAGGATGGATCCTGAGCTCTGTCCCCCCTCCACAGCCAAGTTCATGAAATAAGATGACTCTCCTTCCTCACCTCCTTTTACTCAACCACTGCTCCTGCTCTCCACCCTAACCCGGGGCACCAACAGCCCGTTTGTTGCTGTTCTTGTTGGTACCTCAGCAGCGTTTGGCATGTGATGCCTCCCTCCTCTGTTGAGTGTACTTTTCTCTTGGCTTCTATGATGCAATATGCTTTTTTTATAAAAAAAAAAATATGTCTTTATCGATTTCAGAGAGAGGAAGGGAGAGGGAGAGAGAGAGATAGAAACATCAATGATGAGAGACAGTCATCGATTGGCTGCCTCCTCCACACTGGGGATCGAGCCTGCAACCCGGGCATGTGCCCTGACCAGGAACCGGACCACGTCTCCTGGATCCTAGGTTGATTGATGCTTAACCGCTGAGCCTGCTGCCAGGTGCAATATGCTTTTGAGTGTCCCCTACCTGTCTGGTTGCTCCTTCTGGGTCTCTAAGCTAGCCCTTATTTTTCTATCCTTCTCTTAAATGTCTAATTCCTCTTCTCTCTGTGCCCACTCTCCTTGCCATCTCATGCCTTTGATGACTGTTTACATGTGAGGGACTCCATGTCTCAATCTCTAGCCATAATGTTTCTCTTGAGTTCCAGACCCACAGGTTCAACTGCCTAATAGACACCTTCCTCTGGGTGTCTCACAAGAACCACAACCTCAACACATCTAAAATGCAACTACTCATCATTTCCCCACCCAAACCTGCTCTTCCTCCTGTGGTCCCTCTCTCCGTGAAGGGCTGACTGCTACCCTGTCACCCAAGCTCAACACCACTAAGTCATCCTTGACTTGTGCTCTCCCCGACATCCCCTAGTCTTGTTGATTCTACCACCTGAATGTCTTACATGTGTCTGCTCCCTTCCATCCTCTGGTTCAGCTCCATGTCTTAGAACCTGGGAGTCCTCCTGCTTCCAATTTTGCCCTTCCTACGACCCATTCTCCACACTACAGGGTGATCTTTCTAAAATGGAATCCAGACCATGTCTCCTATTTTAAAGCCAACATCAATTCCTCATTGCCTTTAGGATAATGCCCCAACTCCTCTATACACATTTAAGACCCTTCCTCATCTGACCCCTGCTTCCCTCTCCAGCCTCATGTCTAACTACTCACCCCAGGTTCCAGCCATGCTGAACTAATTTCAGATACCTACATGTGCCACACTTTTTCTTGCCGTATCCTCGATAGATCTGAAGGGAAATGCACTCAGAGATTTGTTGTTGGTTGAATGGGAGGTAGGCAGCAGGATCCTGAGAAGGCCTTTTGCAAAACTGTCCCTAACAAAAGTGATCAGGAAGGAATAAATGAGAATGGGAACACAGCTGTGGAGGCTGCAAATGGGACACCTGCATGACTCCAGTTATTGAAACCCAGGCAAGAACCTAGAGGGAGCATTCATTTCAACAATGAATTAAGCAAAAACCTTGAGTAATAGAGGATTTAATATATTTGAAGTAGAGTAGTATGTAATATCTACAGTGATTGAATTCATTTGTAATATAGCTGAACAAAGGCCTAAAGTGGAAGGATAATCCCAAGGGCTCTCTCCTGAATCCAATACATTTGGAGTATTTTTGCTCTCATAATAACTAAATCAACAAGAACAATATTAATTTTGTAATTTATCAATTAATTAAATAACACTGACTTTATACAAATAAATTTAAAAATCAGCCTAGTTATACTTTCAGTTTCCACGTCCCCTTGTATCGTCGTTCCGCTGGCCTTCATGAGCTTTGCGCCCTCTTCCTGGAACACATTCTGGCTGTGAAGCCCTGTTCACGTAATTTAACTCCTCTCTTTTCTCATCTGCAAAAATGAGGATTACAGAGAAAGTAATAGGCCCTGGGTGGTGTTGCCAAGTGGTTAGAGCTTCAGCCTGGGCACTGAAGGCTCCCAGGTTTGATTCCTGATCAAGGGCATGTACCTGGGTTGCAGGTTCTAGCTCCATCCCAAATTGCATGTGAGAGGCAACCAATCAATGTGTCTCTCTCACACTGATGATTCTCTCTCTCTCCTCTTTCTCTCTCTCTCTCTCCTGTTGTGAAATCAGGGATCAGGAATGGGGCAGGTGCTCCTCCCAACAGCCCTCCTGAGTGGGCATCCGAGTCTCCCTTTTTCAGGGGTGGGAAGGGTGGCACACCAGATGCTGTGTTTCACCCGGGGCCACATGCTGGAGATTGGCTCCAAGTCCGGCCCACTCCGCAGCCTGAGTTCTGGGTCCTGCATGGTCTGCTGCCGTCTCTGTTCTGATTCCCCTGCTCTCTGTGTCCAGCCTGTATCTACAGCTCCTTGCTGCCTGGCTCCTCCTAAGTGACTCATAACTACTCTCCGTCCTTCTCAACTTGCTTCCTCTCCTATGGGCCTCTTTTAGTGACTGGCCCCACCATTCACCCCTACCCTAGGCCTCAATACTGGGTCTCATCCCAGACTCCCCCCCTCCTCCTGTTGGTCACTGGGGCCTGCTGATTGTATTCCCTAAGCATCTCTGAACCAAATTTGGTTTAAGACTGTCTCATCTTTCTCACCTGGATGACCTGGTCAGCTTCCTTCCAACTGGTCCTTCAGTCTCTGGTCTCCACCCAGGCTGCCAAAGTAACCTTCCAACATGTCAATCAGAGCAGGTCTTGCTCCTGCTTAAAACTTGCCAATGGCGCCCTAGCCAACAGTTTGGCTCAGTGGTTAGAGCGCTGGCCTGCAGACTGAAGGGTCCCGGTTTGATTCCAGCCAAGGGCACATACCTTGGTTAGAGGCTCGATCCCGGCCCTAGCCGGGGCTCGTGTGGAAGACAACCAGTCAGTGTGTCTCTCTCACATCAATGTTTCTCTCTCTCTCTCTCTCTCCCTTCCACTCTCTCTGAAAAGCAATGGAAAAAATATCCTCTGGTAAGGATTAAAAAATAAAACAAACAAAAACTTGCCAATGGCTCCCTGTTGTCTAATCATCTCTGAGAAAGGTCCCTATAGAAGCTCTGCAAAACAAAGGTTTTGTGGCTAAAATGTTTGGGAAATGCAGCTCTCTCTGTCCCCATCTTGGAGAAGCACTTGGGTCCGGAGCATCATAAAGGGAGCAAGAAGCCCTGCAGTAAAGAATCTTGTTTAGACATGTTGGACCCAGTGGTTCTCAGTCTTACCTGATGCAGTGGCCCCCTCTGAACATTTAGGGGAGTCACGTTTCAAGGAATACCCTGGGAAACGCTGCCTAGCAGGATCAAGTGCAAGCTCCTTGCTGTGATATAAAAGGCCCTTTAAGATAGGGCTCCTTGTCTTTCACCGCTCCCCTCCACACCTCTCCTGCTCCCCAAGTTATGTGCTGTTCCCCTTGGGTTGTTTATACCTCTGTGGTCCTGCTCCTAGAGGGCCCTTGTTTCTACTTTCTAATGGATAAATTCAGCCATTCTTCAAGCGTTGGCCCAAATGGTACCCCCCGGGTGACTCCTGCCCTCTCTTCTTTTTGGCTCCACTATTGCTCGGTCTCGTGGCTGTCAGTGTTTGCCCGCTTGCGGGTCCGTCTATGGCCCTGAAAGGTCAGTGGGGAGTGCCTGGGCATCTTTGCCTCCACGTCCCCGGTGCTCACACTGCCCGCGGTACCTGCGAGGGGCTCTGAGTGTTGGTTGAACGTGTGCATGATGAAACAAGATCAGAGGTCTGCTGGGGCTGGAGATCTCACTGCCCCAAAGGATGGTTCTAGGCCAGGGTTGCTCAGCCTCAGCACCACTGACAGTGTGAACCAGGTAATTTGTTGTGAGGCTGCCCTGTGCACTGTAGGCTGTTGACTGGCATCCCTGGCCTCTCTCCCTTAGATGCCAGTGGCAACCCCCCTTTCCAGTGTAACAATAAAAATGCCTCTAGACATTGCCAAATGTCCCCTGGGGAGCAATATCGCCTCTGGGTGAAACCACTGTTCTAAATGTAGGTTATTCTAGTTGTCTTCTTATTTCTGGGCAGGTGATGTTTTTTTCGGGTAGTTTAACCCATTACCCTTCTTGTCCTGAAAACTTTCTCAAGGATAAAAAACCCTCCTTCCTCTGGAGAGGGTAGGGGTAGGTTCCAGGAAGGGTGCAGCTTCGGTCGCTTCGCAGGCGGGGGTGAGCTTGTGTCATGCCTCGAGCTATGGAGGCGTTTAGAATGGATGGGAGCTCTTGCTCCAGGCGCCTGTGCTGGTTCCCTTGAGAGAGGATCCTGGGGAGGTTTATACAGCGGCCTTGCAGGGAGCTGCCCGCCTGGCCTGCGCTTGCTGAGACGCACATTCGTTCTGAGAAGCACATCTCAATTCCCATCCTGGTAGGAGCCTGGGAAAGACTGAGGTCTCTCCTATGGCCACCATCTCACCCTGTCCCACCCTTGCAGTCAGTGCCGAGGGGAGCCAGGCCTGCGCCAAAGGCTGTGAGCTCTGCTCTGAGGTCAACGGCTGCCTCAAGTGCTCGCCCAAGCTGTTCATCCTTCTGGAGAGGAGCGACATCCGCCAGGTGGGCGTCTGCTTGCCGTCCTGCCCGCCTGGATACTTCGATGCCCGCAACCCCGACATGAACAAGTGCATCAGTGAGTGTGGGCGGGGCTGGAGAAGCGCTAGAGGGTCGGGACCCTGGGGGAGGGTGCTCTGAACTGTTGGTGGCCAGCAAGAGGACTGGGGGGACTCTGAGGAGGGGAGATGAGGCTTCTTATTCAAGTATCCGGTTGCTGGCCAGACATCTCCCCTCGATATCCCATCCACATTTCCAACTCAGTGTGTCTGTATCAGAGCTGCATCTCCTCCCTCCAAACCTGCACCCACCTATATTCCCACAGGTCACTCCGTCCCAAGCCATCACCCAAGCCATAGACTTGAGAGCCAGCCTCTCATTTGTGCCATCCCCCATCCATCCAATAACCCAATCACGCCTGCTCCGTCTCCTTTCTCGCCTCACTGCCGTTGCCTTACCCAGGCCTCCGTCACCTCTCTCCTGGACTATTGCAATAGTCTGTTGATCTGTGCTCCAACCCTCATCAGGTTCCCTTTGGCCCGCCTCCTCACTGCGGCCAGAAAGATGCTTCTGAGACACTAACTATCCCATCACACTTCTGCTTCATTACCACCTCGGGCTCTACTGACTGNTCACTGCGGCCAGAAAGATGCTTCTGAGACACTAACTATCCCATCACACTTCTGCTTCAACACCACCTCGGGCTCTACTGACTGCAGAGAAAGTCAAGCCCTGGTCAGCCTGCTCTTCCCTCCCCCCCTTTTTTTAAAAAAATATGTTTTTATTGATTTTTAGAGAGAGAAGAAGGAAGAGGATAGAGAGATAGGAACATTGATCGGCTGCCTCCTGCATGCCCCCTACTGGGGATCGAGCCCGCAACCGGGCATGCGCCCTGAATGGGAATTGAACCAGTGACCTCTTGGTTCATGGGTCCATGCTCAACCACTGTGCCACACCAGTCGGGCTGCTCTTCCTTCCTCCCCCCGGTCTTCTCACTCGGCTCCTTTCTCCCACACCAGCCACAGTTCCGAGTGCGTCAGGGCAGGTGCTATCACACCTCCCTCCCTTCTCAGCCTGACCTGCTGGGGGATATGCGGTGAACACACTCCAGTGAACAAAACCAGGGCTCCCTCCCACTTGTTCAGTGCCTTGGAGTTTAGAAGGTGTTTCCAGATCTCTTATCAGTTGAGCCCACAACACCCTCTGAAGGGAGACGGGATCTAAGTGATAGTACCTGTTTTATAGTTGACAACAGCGAGGCTGGAAGGGACGTGGCCTACCCCAGATCAGTCAACTGGGGTTGTCCTCTCAACTCTGCTATTTGTTTATTGTGTGACTTTGGGCATGTCGTAACCTCTCAAAATCTCATCTCTAAAATGGGAGTACTAGCTTTTACCCCTGGGGTTGTTGTGGGAGGCACATGTAAAGCCCTTTGTGTCTGGCACTCAATAATTCTTACTGTATTGCACCTGCAGTGAAACCCAGGAATCAGAGTGCGAGAGAAGGAGGGAGGGAGACCGAGCTGAGATAAAGCCACTAGGAAGCACAGAGCAGGGTGTGGTGGGTGTGGGGAGATTGCAAGGTTGGAGGTAGGACACTGGGGCTGCCCTCTTGGTCCTCAGGGTATTTGGGGTTAGGAGTTCCTGGCTGTGCAAGCTCCTGGGAAACTGGCAGCCCAGGCTCCAGGTGCCAGAGTCGGGGAGGAAGTTCGCCCTGCCCACGATCTGAGAAGGGAAGATTGTGAAAGACCCTGCCTGCTTCTTCAGTCCCGAATCCACCCTCCCCCCACCTGCCCCCCCCAGGGGGGCAGGTGGGGGAGCTGGCAGGAGGGGATGGGGAGGGACCCAGGAGTCCAACCAGGCGGTTCCTGGAACTCGCCTCCTTGCCCAGGGAGAGGAATTTGCCCTGGGATTGCTTCCCTCTCCTCCAAGCCCATTTTTTCTGCCCCAGGCAGGAGGAGATCCAGGGTTTGGGGTCTTGCGGACGCCCAGCAGTGGGGGAAGAGGAGACCACACAGCCACGGTCAGGGGTCACTGTATCCCTCAGTTCAGCTCTGACAAGGTGGCCCTCTGGGGTGCCATGAGATGTTGGGACCCTCCTCTCTCACCCCCACTAATCCCAGGGCGTCCTGCCTTCCTCTGAAACTGGCTCTCCTGGGCCTCACCTCGGGCTGCAGGGCCTGGGATTGGTTTTGGGTTGCTGTTGGCTGACCCTGGTGAGTCCCAGCCAGCCCTGAAGAGTGGCCACCGTCTCGCTGTTGGTGTGGGTGGGCCTGGGTGGCGGCTGTTGGAATGGGGATGAGGGAGGCTGAAACAGAGGCCCCCGCTCTGGTCCCCTCCTCAGAATGCAAGATTGAGCACTGCGAGGCCTGCTTCAGCCACAACTTCTGCACCAAGTGCAAGGAGAGCTGGTACCTGCACAAGGGCCGCTGCTACCCGGCCTGTCCTGAGGGCTCCACCGCTGCCAATGGCACCATGGAGTGCGGCAGTCCTGGTAGGCATGTGGGCACTGTAGGCAGAGGGTCCCGGACCCCGGGCGGAGGGCGGGCCTGGGAGAGTGTGGCTGGGGCACTGTCCAGAGAGAGCTTACCCCACGACCACCCTCTGGGGTCTCTCTCAGGACTTTTCTGCCCTCTGGGCCTAAGCCCCAGGTGGAGAGCAGGTGGGAGCAGCTCCCCTGGGGACTTCTGGCCAGAGAAGGGGATGTGGCCACCCTCTTCTTTCTCTCTCTTCTCCCCCTTCCTGCCAGCGCAATGTGAAATGAGCGAGTGGTCCCCGTGGGGGCCGTGCTCCAAGAGGAAGAGGCTCTGTGGTTTCCGGAGGGGCTCTGAGGAGCGGACACGAAGGGTGCTCCATGCGCCCGGCGGGGACCACGCCGTCTGCTCGGACACCAGAGAGACCCGGAGGTGCACAGTGCGGAGGACGCCCTGTCCCGACGGTGAGCTGCAGCTCCGGCTCCGGGAGCGGGGGTCAGGCCCAACCGCAGGCGACCAGACCCCCTCTGCTTCCTGCCTGATGCCCGGGAGATTCTCAGGCCAGGGCCAAATGGGGCATCCCCAACTCAACACCCCATGCTGTGCAAACCAGCGCCAGGGCCCGGCAGAGACCCGGAACTCTGTGTTTTGGGGGCTGGGAATTTCTGTGTCCATATTCTTTCAGTTTCTCCATTTTTTCTGAGCCAGCAGATGTGGGCACTGGAAGGGTCCTGAGAGGTCAGATAGGGCCTGGAAGGGGGTGTGATGATTTGACCAAGGTCAGTCAGCCTGCAGTTGGCAAGGATGTCGCAGCTGACCCCAGAAGGAGTGGGGCCATCCTGCCTGAACTAAGAACTGCACTGAGCATCTTGGCCCATTGGGATCCCAGGTCTGAGGAAGATATGCGGGGGAGGAGCTGGAGTGGTTTATTCAGGGTGAGGGACCCCCTTTCAGCACCCACATTGCAGGGTCCTCTGAAGTAGCTTATGGTCAGAGGAGGCCTTCAGGGCACCCCACTGCCTAAGGGCAGCCATTCCAGCTCCTCCCTGCCTCCCCTTTCCCCCTTCCTCACCCCTCCCACCCTGGGGCCCATGGCCATGCCCGGGGCCTCCCTGCTTGTGGCATGATGTCCTGTCTTGAACCTTCCTGCTGTTGGATTGCAGGGCAGAGGAGGAGGAAGGGAGGCCAGGGCCGGCGGGAGAACGCCAACAAGAACCCCAGCAGGAAGGAGAGCAAGGAGGCGGGCGCCGGCTCCCGGAGACGCAAGAGTCAGCAGCAGCAGCAGCAAGGGACAGTGGGGCCACTCACATCTGCAGGGCCCACCTAGGGACACGCTTCAGCTTCCAGGCCCACGCAGAAAGAGCGATGGAAGTTTTATCAAACTGGAGCCCTGGGGGCAACATGTACACACATTTTGCACACACATGGACACACACACACAGATCCCATGTCCAAACATGCAGTCAACATACATGCAAACATGTGTATGTGCACACACACACACACATACATACACTCAAGGCCACCGGAAGACACTTATATCCCTCAGACACCATGATGTGAACAGGGCAGGGAGGCAGGGGGTCATCTCTGCCTGGAAGAGGCCCCAGCAGCGCACACTCGGTTTGCGATGCTCCCAGTGGACACCGCAGAGACAACATTTCCCAGGAGCTAGGCCCAAATTCTGCTGAGCGGAGCCTTCTGAGGAGCCAGTGGGACCAGCCCTGCATGACAAACAGGAGCCAGAGCCCGAGGACTGCTCTGCATTTCCAGCTGCGGGACTTGATAGTTGTTACACATCCATGATCCACATCAGGGCTGCCCTGACTCTGAAAACTGCTTAAAGGTTTATTTCAAACTAAAAACAAAAACTAAATGACAACAGTGGCCCCAGGCACCACATTCTTTTTCAGGGTACAGGATTGGTGGGGTATGCGTGGGAGCAGGAGGGGACAGGGCTGAATTTTCAGAGACCCCTGATGGCCTCCTGGACAAGCAGGGAGAGAACTCTGGGGATACTCACGGTGGAGCCAACTTCTCTTTATTCTACACTTGTCACCCCGAGTGTAGTCTGTGGACCAGCAGTGATGTCATCACTGGGCAGCGTGTTAGAAATGAGAATCTCAGGTCCCGTCCCAGACCCGATGAACCAGAGTCTGCGTTGTAACAAGGTTCCAGGTGACTGGCATGCACAGTCACATTTGAGAGGCACTGCTCTACTTACCTCTAAGGATGGAGGGATTCTGGTCAGCTAGAGGAGACTTTCCATCTGGGAGGGGTGGAATCTCTCTTCTGAAGAGCTACCGTGGGCTTCCTAGGGGAAGGGAGTGCTCAGGCTCTGTGAGATGGTTGGAGACAGTGGACCCAAAGGCAGAACTGTAGGTGGAAGACATCCCATGGCATTTGAAAGTGTCTACTGCCAGCCATCCATGCGCCAGGCTCTGGACTAAGTGTTTGGTTTCAGGAGGGGAACCAGGCATGGAGCTTAGAGGTAGGTGGGGGTGACAGGCATGAATCAAATAATCATTGAAATAAATGTATAATTACAATTGGGCGAAGTTAAGGGCAGGCAACCACTGGCACATACACATAGCTATAGAAAATGAATAAATGTAAAAGACTTTATCTCAGGGAAGCTTTTCAGAGAAGGTGATATTTGAGCCAAGCTCTGGACAAGTAGGAGTTAAAACAATAAGGAATGGCATTCTAGACCAGTGCTGTCCAATAGAAATTTAAGATGAACCAATAATGTAATTAAGATTTTTCTAGTAGCCACATTTAAAGAGTAAAAAGAAACAGGTGAAATTAATTTCGATTATATCTTTTATTCAACTAAATATGTGCAAAATGTTATCTTTTTTAATGTAATCAATACAAAAATTATTAATGAGATATTTTATATTTTTTCAAACTAAGTCTTCGACATGTAAAGTATTTTTTACACTGTATAGCATATCTTATTTTAGAAACTGAAGTTTCACCAGAAATAGTTGAGCTATATTTAGATTTCATAAAAATTAAAGTTGAAAAGTGGATTCATATACTCAAGTCATCTCAAGAATAGTTAAGTTTGCCACTATTGAATTGAATGTTTTTAAATTTTAAATTTAGTTAATTAAAATTAAATAACATTAAAAATTCAGCTTTTCAGTTGCACTAGCCATGCTTCAAGTACTCATGGGGCTAGTGGCTTCTGTATTGGACAGCACAGTTCTATCTAGAGGGCGTAGCGTGTGCAAATGACATGTGGTAGAATGGAGCTTGATGTTCGAGGAACTGAAAGAAGGCCAATACAGCCAAGAGGCCTGGAGGGCAAGTGAGGTGAGATCATCTCAGAAAGGTCACCTGCAGTTCGTTCTTTATTCTCAGAGCCAGGGAAGCTGCTAAAGGATTTTTTCAAATTGCAGGCCAACATCACCTGATTTGCATTTTGCCAAGATCCTGTTGGCTGTAGCATAGAAGACAGACTGGAGGGAAGCTGCTCAGGGTTTGGGAGAGGTTGATTAAAAAGAGTACTGGGTGACAAGAGCTCAGGGCTCAGGTCTGCGACCCTTCAAGTAGAAGATAATGGAGGCTTGGTCAGCAAAGGGGTCAGAGGAGCAAGCTGTCCCCTTCTCTGTCTCTCTTTTCATCACCTGTCTTTCTCTGTTGCCACCTCAGCCTCTGATCTTGCGTGTATATGCCATTGTTTCTCTCTGTTTTTCTGTCTCAGTCATCTGGGTATCGGTCATCAATCCCTGTGTGTCCTGGCTCTCTCTGGCTCTCATTTTTGTCCCAATCTCCTAGATGCTTAGGTCCTCTCTACTCAAAGTGTGGCCTCAGATCAGCAACCTTGGTCTCATCCCAGACAGAACTTGTTAAAAATGCAGAATCACAGGCCCCTCCCAGACTGAAAGAATCTGCATCTGCCTGGTAACAGATGATCCTCCAGGTAATTCATCTGCCTGTTAAACGTTTGAGAAGCATCACCTTAAGCTCTCCTCTAAGACAACATCGAGACAAAAGTCCAGAATCTTAGCAACAGGAGATGATCTGGATCCTCCTGTATCTCCTGCATCACCTTGGGGGTGCTCTGAGGCATTCAGCTTCTCTGCATTGCCTCCTTGAGCCTCCTGAAGCTGCTCCTGAAGCTCTGCGCAGCTAAGGGAGGGAACATCATGAGCTTCCACATCTGCAGTGCTGGTGGGAGGAATTCTCCTGATACTGATATGCTGGGGCTCCCAGGTGTGGTCCCCACGCATCTCTGCAAACAGCCCCACCTGGACCTGCTCCTGTCTGTCTCAGTCTGCTCTTTCAAGAGTAAGCATTTTTTTTGTTTTTGAGCAGGAGTTGGAGTGTGGGTTTCAAGATGGGGAGCAGTTACCTGCTCACAGCCCTAGAAGCAGCCCCCCCCCCCCCGAGGCCAGAGACCATAAGGATTGATCAGAAGTCATGCGTGATTTTCAGAGTGAGCGGCATGTTGGAGAGAGGGAGTCATGTCAAGGTTTCTAACCCTGCTCCCAAGGTTTAGGAAACAACAGCACATGATTTGTTTGCGACTTATCTGCCCACACGTTCATTTGGAAAATGTTAGCTTTTTCCTCTGCAGGGTCCCAGACTTGCTCAGACTAACACATTTCTGGCCACCTTGCCCAGTGCCAGCCTGGTATGTTCCAGACCAAGTCTCCAGAGAAAGGGTTTGTTTTCCATTTCAATATTTTGGGTGATGGGGTTGTGTTTTCTGGGTTGGTTTTCTTAAGTATTTCCCCCCCTCTGGTTTGTTTGGATTGGTTTGGTTTAGAAGGACTAAGAGGGAATTTAGGAAAAGGGTCAGCTTCTCGGATCCTGAGTCAGGTCCTTGACACAGAGCCAGTCATCTAGGTGCTGGCTTTTTTGCCCCTGACACTTCCAGCTGTGGTCCAGACCCGACTGAAACAGACCACAGGTGGAAACCTTGCTGAAAGGTGGTAAAGAAGGAAAAGACCCCAGAGAGGACAGGCCCCGCTTTGAAGGATTAAGTGGCTGCATCGCGAAGGGCCTAGAGGACTGTCCGGCCTGTAAAAATGAGAACAAAAGCCTCGTTGTAGGGACATGGAGAAGATCTGACGATCAGATGCCTTGGGGGTTGCTGAGGCCCAGCAGCCAGAGTGGGGTGAACCTGTTTGGTGTGGTCAACCTGGCTCTCCAGAGAGAAAGAACCGACACAGGGTAAAGAATCAACAGGTTTTGGCTGGAAGCTTCGTTGAGGCTCCTTCAGCATCATGTAGACCCTGGATGAGCAGCCAGTGATGGGGGTGGTGGGACAGCCACTAACATGGGGCCCCTTCTGCCTGGCACCACTAGCCTACCAGGTTGGCCGTGAGGGGGAGAAGAGACCCCGGCCAGTGGCTGGAGAAGGCAGCTTGGGTCCTACCCTAGAGCCTTCCAGAACTTAAGTAGGAAATTGCGAAATAGGGCTACATTTTGAAAGAGAAAGTATGTGAAATATGGTTCCTCCCTCGCCTGTCCGCTCCCCCGGAGCTTGCTGCGGGTGGGTGAGATGGGTTCCTGGCTGGGCTCAGTCTGGTGTGAGACGAAGGGCAGAGCCAAGCCCCCAAAGGTCCCTCAGGCCATGCCACAGCAGCTGCCAGCCTTTGGTTATTGATTATTGTTATTGGGATGCACTTTTTCCATCTGTTGAGGATCAGCCTAGCCCATGGAGAAGGCCAGCTCCTTCCTCTGGCTGAGTTTCGTCTCCTGGAAGGGCTGGCTTCTGAGGGCTCCCTCTGCAACCCAATATGTACCATGGGCTGCTGATTAAATACTTGGAATGTCTTCAGGTCGAGCCAGGCCTGTCCATAAAATGGGAGGCATTTTGGCAGTTCCAAGGCCCCTGGCACCCAGTCTTGGCACTGGACCTGCTGTCTTCTTCAAGGAGCTGCGGTGGGCCTCCTGCCAGCATGCTTCCCTGGGAAACATCGAAGTGAGTTAAAGTCAACAATGAGTTCATCTCCAAAAGGAATAAGCCGGCAGCCTTCGGGGCAGAGGAATGGGAGGAGGGGGAATGGGATTCGGGGGCAGTGGAGGGGGTTAAGTGATGCTGGAACAGCCAGACCAGGTCCAAAGCCTGTCAAACAAGCTGGCAGCTCAAGGAACAAAGAAAAGTGCTTTCCCAGGCCAGCCCTGGAGCTCTCACTTGGCAAAATTGGTGACAACGAGGGTGTTACATTCCCAGGGACCATGGGAAGTGTCCTCTCAATTATTGGGAGCTGGAGCAAGACATTGACATGGAGAGAGACTGGGGCCAGTTGGGTTGGTGGATCCGAGAGCTCTGGCTCTGCTGGCCCCAGGCCTGCCTGGTGGACACGT